GGTGTTTTTGCTCAATGTACAGATAATTTTGTTAGTATTTACATGTAAGTGTCTGTGTGTTTTGCTCAACGTACAGATAAGTTTGTTAGTATTTAAGTGCGGATTATCACTTATATAAATGATGAAGTGGCTAAGATCTGATCGCGAATTAATTTTTTTTCATGAGAAAAGATGTGGACGATGTGACTCTGCAATTTATTGCGTGTATTTTTACATGTGCCTACATACATGTATTGAGTAGGCTGTTCGATATTGAAATGATGATCACGTAACAAATCTCGGAGAATTCAGCCAATATTGTGCCAAATTATTAAAGTCATAGTGATTTGAACCTTCACCCAAATAGGATACAGACAAATGAAATCTAAAACTTAATGGAAAAAATTTTAAAAATTATGAAAGGTTGAATGAAATGAGTTGGCATTGTCTGTCATTGGCGCTGTAATTTCCTCCACCGTCCGAGTTGGTATGGGTCCGACTTGGCATGGGTCCGAGTTGGTTTGGGTCCGAGTTGACTCGAAACCCTTGGTAGTACGTAGTGTAGTGGCACTCTCAAGTAGGCCTAAAGGAAGATGTTCCATATTACCAGCCATGATAACCATGATAAACTTTGTCATGATGGTAGAAGAAAGTTTCAAAAATAGGTCGAGGCACTAGCCCCAAGCAAGGCCTGAAGTTGTAGGCCTAAGAAAGCATGCAAAATGTACCTTTCCATATGCACATCAACACTGGCGTCAAGTGTTGTGTATCCATCGAAATCACTCCAGAGGCGATTTTGACGGTGAAATATGCAATGCACATGCGTGTGTTATGTTAATGGGGTCGATTTTTGTGTCTGTGAAAGTGAAACGCATGAAGGTGTAGTAGGCCCGAGTCGAATTTCTTTCATTGCCTTTTCGTTTATTATGTAAAGTTAAATAGCCCCTTCTGCCACGCGTGCCTCTCTTATTTCTTTCCTGCGTTGCTGATAGTTGCAGCGGTCACTTCACTACTCCTGGTTCCCGTGCTTCGTTCTGGGTGATTCCGGTTGTTAATTTTCATCCTTTTCTTTGCGTGCGTCGTTGTGGTGAACCGGGTTGTTTGGCAGTAGCATACAGCTAATATATTCTGGTGAGCTACAGTACAACCACGGTGTTTCATTTCATATCTTATTTTATTTGTTACCCAGGTGGTCGATTTATTTTCCTTTTGATATAAAAATTTGTTTACTTTATTTTGGAAAAGAAAAAACACACACACAAAAAAGAGACTTTTTGATTTATTTTCTAAGGTGAAGTAGCCACCCAATTATTTTCAAATGCTAAGTTAGCCACTTTATTTTTGAGACAAAATAGCCTAAAATTTAACACTCACAAAAAGGCATCGTGCTNTCCGAGTTGGTTGTGGGTCTGAGTTGGTCGTGGGTCCGGGTTTGTATTGGGTCCCAGTTGGCATAGGTCCGAGTTGGTCGTGGGTCCGACTTGGCATGGGTCCGAGTTGGTTTGGGTCCGAGTTGACTCGAAACCCTTGGTAGTACGTAGTGCAGTGGCACTCTCAAGTAGGCCTAAAGGAAGATGTTCCATATTACCAGCCATGATAAACATGATAAACTTTGTCATGATGGTAGACGAAAGTTTCAAAAATAGGTCGAGGCACTAGCCCCAAGCAAGGCCTGAAGTTGTAGGCCTAAGAAAGCATGCAAAATGTACCTTTCCATATGCACATCAACACTGGCGTCAAGTGTTGTGTATCCATCAAAATCACTCCCGAGGCGATTTTGACCGTGAAATACGCAATGCACATGCGTGTGTTATGTTAATGGGGTCGATTTTTGTGTCTGTGAAAGTGAAACGCATGAAGGTGTAGTAGGCCCGAGTCGAATTTCTTTCATTGCCTTTTCGTTTATTACGTAACATAAGCGGTGAAGTGCGTCACCAATTTTTTTTTAAATAGCCGCTACTGCCACGCGTGCCTCTCTTATTTCTTTCCTGCGTTGCTGATAGTTGCAGCGGTCACTTCACTACTCCTGGTTCCCATGCGTCGTTCTGGGTGATTCCGGTTGTTAATTTTCATCCTTTTCTTTGCGTGCGTCGTTGTGGTGAACCGGGTTGTTTGGCAGTAGCATACAGCTAATATATTCTGGTGAGCTACAACCACGGTGTTTTATTTCATATCTTATTTTATTTGTTACCCAGGTGGTCGATTTGTTTTCCTTTTGATATAAAAATTTGTTTACTTTATTTTGGAAAAGAAGAAAACACACACACAAAAAAGAGACTTTTTAATTTATTTTCTAAGGCGAAGTAGCCACCCAATTATTTTCAAATGCTAAGTTAGCCACTTTATTTTTGAGACAAAATAGCCTAAAATTTAACACTCACAAAAAGGCATCGTGCA